GTCGCACGTTGGCAAGAGCGGATTCAAGAGTATGATTTCACTTGCATCTATCGCCCGGGCGCCAGACATTCGAACGCCGACGCCTTATCCCGAAGGCCAGTCCAGGAACTAGAGTCTGTCAATGTACTACTCGCGTCTAACAGAATAAACTGGGAAGAAGAACAACTCAGGGACACAGATATTGGCGAGATTTACCGCCTCCAGCTGCAGGGCAACTCCAAACCTTCTGGGCGCCTAATGGCCTCGAGATCCTCGACAGGAGTGAGTCTGTGGTCACGATGGGGGCAACTACGGATTATATCCCGAGGGCTCCATCTTGTGGATAGCTGGGATGGCCAGCCTCCGTCGTACCCTATATCCCGAGGGCTCCATCTTGTGGATAGCTGGGATGGCCAGCCTCGCGTCGTCGTACCCCGTAGTTGCGTCCAAAGGACTATCTCTGCGGTCCACCGAGATTTGGGCACGCTGGACAGAAGAAAACGGAAGCGCACATTAGACGGCGTTTTCGGTGGTTTCTACTACACCACGACGTTGCGGAGTTTTGCCGGCACTGCTCAGTGTGTGCGACAACGAAGGCCCCCAATATAACTCCCCGAGCACCGCTCCAACCGATCCCCGTACAAGGACCGAACCACCGAGTGGGTGTTGATGTCATTGGACCCCTACCAGAGACCAGAAAAGGTAACCGTTTCATTGTTGTCATGGTCGACTACTTAACTAAATGTTGTGAAGCTGTGCCTGTGAAGTAACAAGATGCCCGTACGATCGCGTCAGTGATAATCTCTGAGTGGGTATCACGCTATGGGGTGCCAGTCATTCTCCACTCTGATCAGGCCCCAGCCTTTGAGAGGCACTTGCTGCGGGAAATATGTACGAGGACAACACCGTACCACCCAGAGGGGAACGGTCTGGTGGAACGCATCAACAGAACCATAAAGAAAATACTTACCACCCTCGTGGATCGTTACGAAAGGGAAGGGTGGGGCGAACACATTCCGCTATCTATGCTGGCCTATCGAGCAGCTACACACGAGTCAACAGGTTATGCACCGGCATTTTTACAACTCGGCCATGACCTCCGTGATACCTGCAATAGGGTGAGAGAGAGGCACACACAAGGTCATATGAGAGACGTGCAAACAGATGCAGTCGAGTTTCAAACGCGTTGCAACGCAAACATTCGAATTTTTCGCGATTCAGCCTAGCGTTCAGTTCGTGATGTCCGCACTGTTCAGGTGAGGTAAATTCATGTATTTACTGACTGATTCATAATAAGTGCGCTTTTATTAAAGTCTACCTTTTCTTAGTGTTGGCCTATTTTCTTTCTACTGAAAGGCATCGGCGCGAAAGTGTTAAGCAGGACTGTTCAAACCTGAGCGGGCTCGGTATAGCCGGCACTCGCATGAAAACGCATCAAAAATGGATCTCGCTCGGAACATGCAGTGCTGTATAGGAAGTTTGTTCTATGCGTTAGCTGACAGAAATGAGAAAATCTAGTCTGTGCGCTTCAATCCCGAATATTATCCTACTGTATCATTACTGACTTGGTGGGATCAAAGTTAAAATCCCTGGCGACCGAAGCTCATTCTAGGTAAGCAAGACTAATCGTCTTATTCCATTGGAAGCGGATGTTGTTCAGCGGGACTCATCCAGGGATTCACAGATGCCTTTTATTGTAAGCAGATTTCTGGATAGCATCCAACGTCATTGCAGCTCTTTGGAAATTCGTCGTAGGTTTCTGGAGGAATCCTGGTTTGGTATTTCATTTTCTGTACATCAAACTGTCACAGCGAGCTTCCGTCTCTCGGAAAATCACAAGGCTGCGGTTGTGAGCGTGAAGTTGCAGTGCTTCACACCAGTGCGATAAGGGCGTTGATCGCTAGGCTGTACTCTTGGTGCAAATGCATCCGTCATATGGAGAGTATTGGATGAAACAGCAAACAAAAGGTC